TGATCTAAGCCAAAAAGCCATTTTGAGGGTGCCTCTGCTTGTAGTGAGAGCATAGTGGGGTAATGTTGACTGGGTAATTGTTAGGGAAGGCTGACTGGCTGGAGGACATGTGGTTTTTGTTGTATGAAACCTTAGGGAGGGCCCTACCCAGGAAGACATGTGCCCTTCCGTCCAGAATGGAAAGGCTGAAATCAAGGCTTTTAAGTACCCATTTCCTTCAAGGCCCAAAATTTGGAAATATTTTCTTGCAGAGAAACCTGTTTGAGTTTATCTTTTCCAGGAACTGGGTTGTTAGGTTACAGTAATAAGAAACCCTGAGGACAGGCAAAGGTCAATTCTGGGAGATGGTTTGCCTCCAGATTCATTTTAAGTAATACTCATATTGTCTGAGGTGGTGTGTTTGGGACCTTGGCTCCATTTCCAGCTTCAGGCTAGGGTGTTCCTTCAATACACATTCTCAATGACAGACTTGTGGCCTCTGAAACCATTTCAGGCCAAGAATTTCATCAAAGTTTCTTTGACATAGGTGACAGATAACCAAGAAAGTAGCTGCCTTAAGATAAACAGTCCCGGAAGAGAAAACTGGAGGCCCTGCCCTAGAGCTGTGGAGACTTAGTTGCTCAGCAGGGCACCTCTACCTCTGGGACTCCCTGCCAAAATCTGGCCCTAGGAACAAAGGAATATTTCAGTTCCTTTTTATTCTTTTAACACCCATGGCTGTGGGAGAAGGAAAGGCTCAAGGCCAGGGCTCTGCTCCCAGCCTCTATCTCCTCCCACAGCTGCTGCATTTGGCTGAGGGGCCTGCTGAATGTTCTTATTGTCCCCAGGGCAGTATTGAGGCCAGACTAAAGCTATGCTGCTTGCTGGCTGCAAGAACTGGTCATGAGGATGGGAGGTGGGGAAGAGATTCAGGGGAGATGACAAGGGTGACACATAAGGCTAGAAACATTTGAGACAAAGAAGCAGGGCTGGGAACAAATTGGTTAACTTTGATTGCCACTCACTGTGGTGCTTTTCTCCTTTCCCTGGAAATCTTCTTTGAAAAGAATAAATTTGTATTTGTTTACCTTGGTTCCTCTGGTTATATATATGTACTCTTTGACTCTGATATTCCACACCCTTCTCTTATTTGTGTGTGGGAAGAGAAGGTGGGCCAAGAAACTACAGCAACACTGCAAAAAATAGGTTACTAGATGAGTCCAATACCTACTGTACCAAAAAGACACCCCCACTAACTACATCCACCACAGTTACCTGAAATGGTTGTTACTTAAGGCACTATACACATTAGCTACTTACACCCTCACCAAATGAGCTCTATGGCAATGGTTCTTCAATTTTTTTTTTTACCAGCCTGAAACATCATACAAAAAAAGAACAATGCAGTAAGTGGCCATAAAGTTACATTTATTCAATTATTCTCTAGATTATATGTATAATGTCCTTGTAAATAATCAGTGGTGATAGTTTTTTATAAATGCCATTTTCTGCCAAAATAAAACTCTGCTAGTCCCACTTTGCTACCACAGTTTTTCTTTTTTCACTAATCTATAACAGCACTGTCCAATAGAAATACAATGTGAGACACATATGCAATTTAATATTTTCTAGAAGCCATATTAAAAAGTAAAAATAAACAAGTGAAGCAAATTTTGCTAATATATTTTATTTAACACAGTATATCTAAAATATTATTATTTCAACATGTAATCAGTATAAGATGATTCTTAATGATATTTTAGATTCCTTTTTTTTTTTAAAGAAGTCTTAGAAATTGTGAAACAGGCTTATAAAGAAATAAGAAACCCACATAGATCCAGAGTATTTATTACTTAGAGAGACAGCAAAAGCAAGAACAACAATAGTACTAGGTCCCTGCACCCCTTGTCCCACAGGACAACAATGAAACAAAAGGAGCCTTATGACATGTAATATGGGTGCTGGGGCACGTTGCTGCTGAGTAGCCAATTCCAAACTGTAGCTAAGCAGTTTTATGGTCTGCAGATGTCCCCTTTGGTGCTGGGGGGCAGGCATAAAGTCCCATGACTCACCAGAATGAAGGAGACAGATGAGAGACTGCCTCATGGCAGTCGCCCTCAAGATAAGGAAGTGAGTGAGAATGATCTTGTAGGAGCTCCCTTTGAGACTGCCTATCTTTCCAGGCTCTTGTAGAATTACAGGGCATTCGCCAAGGCCCAGAGCAGCCTGCAGTTGAGCCTTGCCTATGTGACCTATGAGGATAGTGTGAGATTACTAGGCCATTGGCAAAGAGAAGTCCCCCCACAGAAACCCTGTGTATATTTTCTGCTTACTACACATCTCAATTCAGGCTAGATAAGTTGTTCAAAAGCCACAGGTGGCTAGTGGATACCATATTGGCCACTGCAGGACTGTAATATACAAAAGTCAGAATCACTGGGCCATTAAAAAAAAAAGACTCTGTGAGATATCATATGTGTGTATTTTGGGTGAGGTGGACAGTCAGGGTGGCAATAAGCCTTGGGGGACTGGAGTGCAATGGTAAAGCAGTTGCCTACGGTTACAATGAGATATGGTATTAGAAGTAATGAAAGGGCACTGCAGACACATGAATTTGACCTTGTCCCCTCGTGTTATTTTCCCTTCCCCCTTGCCTCTCAGCAGAGCTCTGGCTGCTCTTGGGCTGGAGTATCAGGCAGAGGCTGGATAGGACTCTTTTACCTCTCTCACCCTTGGATGGCATGTGCGGCATATGTGCCACCCTCACTGACCTCAGTCTCTCCAGCCAAGTGCCCTGAGTACTTTTTATGTTTCTGTTCCAGCCCCCTGCCTTCCTTCATTTGAAAAGGTCTATCTTCTTTTCAAACCCTGCCTCTTCTTCCACCTTCTGCCTCTGACAATTCCTTTCCCCCATTTTCTTTCTTCTTATCTTTTAAATTCTGGGTTTCTGTGGGGGTTGGGGGGTGGTAATATTTTTTATATCATTTTGGTTTTCAAGCTATCTTATAACTTCTCATCTAATCTTGGCTTCATTTAGTTTGCCCTTAACATGTCTATCTCCCTTAATTCCCCTTCTTCCCTGCATTAGTTAGCCCCCAGCATTCCTTCTGTCTTTATCCCTCCTCCATAGACCCTTCCATACATATTGACCTCCCTTCTCTGCCCTTGGCTTACTAACTTCAATTTGGAGTTGGAGCACCTGAAGTGGCAGAGAAAATTTGTGAGTACATTTCCAACTTCATTAATTGGGACCAGACCTGGGTCTAGCTAGACTACTTCCAGAAAACCCTCAGCTGCTTCTTGGTAATAAGCATTATCACCCTTGATTTCCAGATGAGGAACTGGAGGCTCTAAGAGGTATAGAAACATGTCCAAGGTGAGTAGTAGACCTGGGATTTCAATCATATGTTCATTCCACTAAAACATAATTCAACAAAAATTTTGGAGCTCTATGGTTAATATGAGATGATTTGCTTAGTTCTTTAGAAGTTATCCTAAGAGCTCTTTAGAAGGAGCTTCAGTACTGCCAGCATCTTGTGACATTTCCTAATCATAGTTAACTGCTTATCTCTCCAGTTTCCTTTTGGAAGTGGTTTAATAAAGTGACAGCAATCTATTTAAAATAAATAATTTATTTATTGCTTAAATAATACAAAGTGGAAAACCTTAACAGTGCATCTAAAAAAAATATATGCATCCACAGCTTTTAAAGGAGTCTTCACAGTCATCACAAGTATTTGGTCTTTCCTAACCTTTTCTGATGGAGGTTAGGATGAAGAGGCTCAGAATAAAGGGAACCTTTAGAATTTAATCTCTGCTCTAACTATTCCCTTAGCTAACAAATAACAACCAGACACAGTCCTAAAAACACAACATCAGAACAAAGATTGTAGTGGCAAGAAATCATTCCTGACTCTTCCCATAAGTGGCCTGAGGTGACCCTCTGAAAATGGTTCGCTACTCAGAAAACTTCACAAAATTATTCAAATCAAGAGATTCAAATCTTTGTTTTCATTTTAAGAGCACTCATGAGACCTAGCTGGTCTGACTCAGTGGGTAGAGCATTGGCCTGAGGACTGAAGGGTCCCGAGTTTGATTCCAGTCAAGGTCGCATGGCCTGGTTGCGGGCCCGATCCCATGTAGAGTGTGCAGGAGGCAGCCAATCAATGATTCTCTCTCATCATTGATGTTTCTATCTCTCTCTCCCTCACCTTTCCTCTCTGAAATATATATATATATATATATATATATATATATATATATATATATATATATATATATAAAATAATAAAATTTTTAAAAGAGCACTCATAAAACTACCCAGGCCATCAAGGGTATGCATATTTGAAAAGCCACCAAGTATGTGAAGGGTGCCAGTTTACAGAAGCAATGTGTGCCATTCCATTGTTATAATGTTGGCATTTTTAGGTGTGCCCAGGCCAAACAGTGGGGTTGGACACAGGGTTGGTGGCCCAAAAGGTGTGCTGAATTTTTGCTGCACATGCTTACAAATGCAGAGAGTAATGCCGAACTTAAAGGTTTAAATGTAGATTCTCTAGTTATTAAGCACATCCACGTAAACAAAGCTCCAAAGATGCTACACTGAACTTACAGAGCTCATGGGCGGATTAATTCATACACGAGCTCTCCCTGCCACGAGGAGATGCTCCTTACTGAAGAAGAGCAGATTGTTCCTACACCAGAAGAGGATGTGCAGAAGGAAAAGATATCCCAGACGAAACTGAAGAAACAAAAACTACGGTTCAGGAGTAAATTCAGCATGAAATAAATACTAATAAAAATTTTAAAAAATCATCCATGAGCAGGAAAGCAGCCCCTATTATATGTACAGAGACGGGGCATAACCTACTACTGTGTTTCCCTGAAAATAAGACATCCTCCAAAAATAAGACCTAGCGCATGGAAAGATAAGACATCCCCTGAAAATAAGACCTAGTGCAACTTTGGGAGAAAAAATTAATATAAGACACTGTCTTATTTTCGGGGAAACAGGGTATTAGCTGCCATGAAGTAGGCACTTAAATTCACCGTAGCCAGTTCTAGCCTTTGGTAGAAATGACTCAATTTATTCAATGTTTTAGAAAAAATATATAGCAAACAGAAGAAAAGGCTAAAACATAAGCAAGCCAGCTGCATAGCCTTCAAGGTTAGACTATTTTTGGCAAGCATGACTGAACCATCTGATGGCACCATAGAATAGAGCAATATAAATAATTCTCAAATTCATAAAGAGAAGCAAAGTCCCATAGTTGAGTTGGGTCCTTAGGTCTACTACTTTTTTATATTCTGTCCCTTTCTACACTCCATTTCTACACTACTAGAAATTTCAAATATAGTTAGCAAAAAAAAAAATGGCTCAGAGAAACAAATACAAATGATTCAACATAAAGCAATGAAACAAACAAACAGTTTCATGCAGTCTTCAATCTAGATGTATAAGGCTGAAGGCTCTCCTCACTTCTCAAGAAAAAATTTCAGTTTTTCCTGTAGGGAAATTATCTGTAGAGAGAGGCAGAAAAACATAAAAATTTCATCAAGTTCCACTACTTGATCTAGAATTTACTTATATGAACCAAAAACAAACAAACAAACAAACAAAAAACTGTAATTTGACATTTATATGGTATGTTAATCTTGTGATATTCCAAAGAACAATGTCACAGTCAAGAATGCAGGTCCCAGGTTTGATTCCATCAAGGGCACATACCTTGGTTGCAGACTCCTCCTAGCCTGGGCCCTGATCCGGGCACATGCACGAGGCAACCAATCGATGTGTTTCTCTCACATTGATGTTTCTCACTATCTTTCCCTATCTCTCCCACTCTTCAAAAAATCAATGGAAAAATATAATTCAGGTGAGGATTAATAAACAAACAAATAAAAAAGAATGCATACAGAACTCTGGTTGGTGTTTCTCAGTTGTTAGGGTGTTAACCTGGGCACTGAAGGGTTGCAGGTTTGATTCCAAGTCAAGAGCACGTACCTGGGTTTCAAGGGTTGCCGGTTGGATCCCTGGGTGCATGCAGGAGGCAACCAATTGTGTCACACTCTCATCCATGTTTCTCCATCCTTCTCTCCCTTCCTCCTTCCCTCCCTCCCTCTTTTCTTCCCTTCCTCCCTCCCTCCCTCCCTCTTTCTCTCCCTTTCTCCCATCCTCACTTTTACCCACTCTAAAAATTAAAAAATATATATACTCCAATGAGGATTAACAAACAAAAAGAATACGTACACAATGCTGCAGCCATGATATTGTCCTTTATTTTGACAAACTTATAAAAGGAAGCTTTAAAATGGAATATACTGAAAAATTAAATATGATTGCTGTTAAGAATTTGTACTTCTGGGAAGAGTAGGAGTAATAGAGATGGGATTATTGTAGCCATATTTAAAGAGTCAGAAGGTAAGGCAGTTGGGAGAGCCTCTTGACTCATTGAACACAGTAGGTCTTATACTGGGTCTTAGCTGCTTTTTCTTGCCACATTAAGAGACACTTGCAAGGAGAATCCAAGATGGCTGCACAGGTAAACACCTAGCCGCAGCCACACACAACAATTTCAATAAAATACAACTAAAATATAAAATGGACATTACCCAGAACTACAGGAAAGTCGACTGACTGGAAATTCTACAACAAGAAGCAAGGAGAAAACCAGAAGGAAGCGCAGAGGAGCTGTAAAAGCCTAAGGTACGGAGACACGTGGCGCGTGCAGAGAGGACGGAGCCGGAGAGGAGGGTGGCTGAGTGCCTGGCTGGTGTTCCCTAGCGGGAAAGAGATAAAAGCTCCGACTGTGTTGGGCCCCAGTTCTGACTGCTCTGAACCCCAGTTCTAGGCCAGACCCCGGGGACCCAGGCTCATTCATAGGGAGCTGGGCTGTAAGGCGGAACCCCAGGGGAGCAGCGAAAGGAGGTCCCGGAGGCGCACACATTGCATGCAGAGAAGGGACAGTTGGCTGTGCCGTGGGATTGCCCTGGCGGGGAGACAAAAGCTCCGGACTGCTCTGAACGCCACCTCCAACTCCACTTCCAACTGAACTGAACCCCAGCTCCAGGCTCATTGGGGGAGAGCCTAGACTGTTTGGTAGCAGGCGAAAATCGAGGGCACCTTTCTCTCAGAGGTGCTTGCAATGAGTACTGAAGGACTCTGGGGATTACTGAGAATCAGGAGCCCCATAGGGCGGGGCTGACGGAAGCCAGGGCTGTAGGCTCCACCCTGAAACCCCCCCCCCCCACACACCATCAGGGAAGCTGCGAAAATGCTGAGACAACGAAAGAGATCACAAATGAAAGAAATGGAGGACAAAAAGCGACTGGATATAGAGTTCAAATCTACGCTTATAAGGTTTTTCAAGAATTTCCTAGAAAAGGTTGATAAGACCTATGAGGATATGAAAACAGATCAACTGGAATTAATAAGGAATCAACAAGAAATGATAAGGGATCAACAAGAAATAAAGAGTACATTGTCTGAAATAAAAAATATTATACAGAGTCCTAAAAACAGAATGGAAGATCACAAGAATCAAGTCAAACATTTGGAACATAAAGAGCCAGAAGACACTCCTCCGCAGAAGCAAGAAGGCAAGAGAATCCAGAAAGTTGAAGATAATGTAAGAAACCTCTGGGACAACTTCAAGCAAACCAACATCAGAATTATGGGGGTCCCAGATAGAGCAAGATATCGAAAACATACTGAAAGAAATAGTGACAGAAAACTTCCCCCACCTGGTGAAAGAATTAGACTTACAAGTCCAGGAAGTGCACAGAACTCCAAACAAAAGGAATCCAAAGAGGACCACACCAAGACAAATCATAATTAAAATACCAAGAGCAAAAGACAAAGAGAGAATATTAAAAGCAGCAAGAGCAAAGCAGGTAGTTACCTATAAAGGAGCACCTATACGATTGTCAGCTGATTTCTCAACAGAAACCATGCAGGCCAGACAGGAATGGCAAGAAATATTCAAGGTGATGAATAGTAAGAACCTACAGCCAAAGATAATCTACCCAGCAAAGCTTTCGCTCAGAATCGAAGGCCAGATAAAGAGCTTCACTAATAAAAAAAAAAAGCTAAAAGAGTTCATCACCACCAAACCAGAATTATATGAATTGCTGAAAGGGATTCTTTCAGAAGAGAAAGTAAATAAAGATAAAAATTATGAACAACAAATACATAACTATCAACAAGTGAATCTAAAAACCAAGGAAATTAAAAAAAAATCTGATGAACAATATTAACTGTTGAATATAATAGAATCAGAGGTATGGAAGGGGAGTGAACTGATGATTCTTGGGGAAAAGGGGAGAGAGGGATGTGGGAAGAGACTGAACATAAACTGTGCACCTATGGATGAGGACAATGGGGGGTGGGGAAATGGCAGAGGGTGGGATGGAAACCTGGTGGAGGAGAGCAATGGGGGGGGGGGGGCATTTGTAATAATATGAACAATAAAAATTTATTTAAAAAAATAAAAAAGAGAGACACTTGCAAACTGGTTCAGAGTTCTGGCCAATCAGGAGCTTGTGATGTTCTACTTATCCTAGTGCGTTCAAAGTCAGAAGTCCTGGATCTTTTGTGATGTAGGATTTAATTTTTTTTGTTTTACTTGAAATGGCAAAGTGACTAATAACACTCAGAAATATACTGTCCGTGGGACAAAGATGGTTTTCGAATATTATTCAATTTAGTTCACTACATACCAATGTGGTTTTTCATTCTGTGAAATAAAAAGAATGGAGCATTGCAAAATGATCCTAAGCTGCATACCATCTACTGAAACTACTATAATTGCCATCTGCAGTAACCTAGAGGCTTTTTTCACTCAGATGCTAACCGTGATTACAACCACTGACTGGCCCAATTTTCTCTTTTGTGGGCTCTTTTCTTCCCCCACCACCTCCTAAAGGTAGCTTTCCTCATAGGTTCAGACATCTTGCTGAGCAGTCAACCTGGCTAACTCATCTATCCCCACAGCTTCAGTGATCATTTCTATGCATGAGCCACTCTCCACTCTACCATTTTAGAGTGCTTCCAACTCAACTAATCATCTTCCCCATCCTCTACTCCAATAATATCTTTCTGTTGTCTTCATTTGTGTTAGTGTCACACCATTTTCTGGTTACCCAGGCTTTGAACTCCTCTTTCTTCCCCTTTCTATCCTTTAAGTCTAATCAATTGTGGAGTTCTGATTTCTTCTCTCTTAAATCTTCCTCTAGTCTTTCCCCCCTCTGATTGTTCCCTTACATTACTGGCAGATAAATCCTCCTGAATTACTACTCCCAAGGTTAAAAAAAAAAAAAGCTTTGGTGGCTCATTATGACCTACATCAAAAATCTAAACTCTTGCCGAAACCAGTTTGGCTCTGTAGTAGAGCGTCGGTCTACGGGCTGAAGGTCCCAGGTTCGATTCCGGTCAAGGGTATGTATATTGGTTGCGGGCACATCTCCAGTAGGGGGTGTGCAAGAGGCAGCTGGTTGATGTTTCTCTCTCATCGATGTTTCTAGCTCTCTATCCCTCTCCCTTCCTCTCTGTAAGAAAAATCAATAAAATATATATTTTTTAAAAAAAATCTAAACTCTTTAGCCTGTCATCAATACCCCAGAGCCATTTTGTGCATGCTACTTTCTATACAGAATGCCCTTCTTTCTCTATCTCCTTATTAGAACCCTACCCACATTTTAAGGCCCCAGTCTAACACCACCTCTCCATAAAGTCTTCCATAATCTCAGTGGACAAAAGTGAGCTCTCAGTCCTTTAAATTCCTATCCTTCTCATAATCACTCCCCCAATGGAGGCAGAGGCTGTGTTGTAATCATTTTGTAGTTCTCTGCAGAATCTAGCTTAAATAGGCACCCAATAAATGTACATTAAATAAATGAATTAACATAAAGGGCTCTGGGTGAATAAAGTTTACAGCTATCTTTCTTGTTGAAAATAGCACTCCCCAATACTAACTACTTACATTGATGAAAACAAAGATGCTTAGGGGGTGCTAAAGAAATCTTGGTATTAACCGTTCATATGATTGTTTATAAGCAGTACTTGGATAAGTGATTTGCTGAGGGGAAGGGAAGATACAGAACATAAGAATCCCCCTGGCCTTGTTGGATGGGGATGGGGGACAGGATCATCTCTACCTTAAGAGTCCCATGTTAAGCCTATTCTCATAATATGACCTCCAATCTCTTTAAAATTGTGACCCTCAAAAGTATAGGGATGGAGTCAGCATATATTTTCTATATATCAATAGCTACTTGAACCTCACTTATCACACACTGACCTAATATTTCCACTCTGCTCAATCTCTTATGGCTTTAAATAATAGTTATTCAAGTTAGATATCTGGCATGCATCCTTAATACTTCTTCTCCTTCAACACCCAGTAATTGGCCTAGTCTCATCAATTCTACCTTTAAAAAGGTATTCACCCATATATGAATGTTCATAGCAGCATTATTAGTGATAGCTAATATGTGGAAACAACCCAAATGTCCATTGATATAAAAATGGATAAACACAATGTGGTACAGTATATCCATACAATACAATATTATTCAGCCATAAAATGAAATAAAGTACTGATACATGCTGCAGCATGGATTAACCTTCAAAGCATTATGCTAAATGAAATAAATGAGACATAAAAGAATATATATGTTTCTTCTTATATGAAATATCCAGAATAGGGAAAGTAAACTAGTAGGAAGTAGATTAGTGGTTGCTTAGAGGTGGAGTGTAGGCATGATTCAGAAGAAATGAGAAGTGAATGCTAATGGATACAGGTTTCTTTTGAGGATAATGAAAATGTTCTAAGGTTAATTGTGGTAATAGTTGCACAGTTCTGTGAATGTACTAAAAGCCATCGAATTGTATAATTTAAATTGGTGAATTTAAAAAAAATAACATGGATGTATTTCTACTGCTGCCAAATAAGAAAGTGATGGTATACTCTTACAGTCAAGAGAATGACAATGTTTAATTTTACTCCATTTTTTTCCTACAACATAGTCAAATACTTAAATTCATTTATGCAGTTAAAAATTTCCTCTATATAGTTTGCAGGGCAAAGGACATTATGTGGTAAAGGGACTTATCAAGCACTGAGTTAAATATAGGGGTATCTGTGTATCTGTAGTGTGTATTTATACACGATGCAAATTTCTTGAAGCCTCTAAGCAGCAGTACTTTTTATCTGACTCCTATAAAGTATTCGTTTTGAGGTCCATTTTTTTAAAAAAAATGATGGTAAAAATTAAATGAGTGAATTGTATGGTATATGAATTATATCTCAATAAAGCTGTTATAAAACATTTATATGACAGTTAAATTTTATATTTTTTTCTTTCCATCTCCATTGCCAACATCTTAGTCCAGTTACCATCATCTTATTATACTACCACACAGCCTCTCCTGCCCTCCTATAATACATTCTCCATATAATAATCAGAGTGATCTTTTAAATTAAATGTTAATCCCCTGCTTAAAACTCTTCAAGGGCTTCTAAAATCCATCCTCATTATCATGGCCTGCAAGGGACCAGACAATATGGCATCAGCCTATTTCTCCAACCTTATATTGTCACTCTCTTTCTTGTTTTGAATACTCCAGAGATCCTCGAAGAGGCTGAGTTCTTTCCAAATATAAGACCTGGCATATGTTCCACCCAAGAAGCTTTTCATCGCCTCTTAGCTTGGACTTATCCATCAGATCTCAACCTAAATATAACTTCCTCAGAAAGGCTTATTACACACACACCCCAATTAAATCAGGATTGTCTTTATTCAAAGAAGACCATTGACTTTTTTTTCCTTCATAGCACTTCTTCGATTTGCACCCTCTTCTTTTTTTATTGTTTGTTTTGTTTTGTTAATCCTCACCCAAGGATATTTTTTCCCACTGATTATTTTTAGAGGGTGTGATGCGGAAGGGATGGGTTAGGACACAGAGAGAAAGACATTAATGTAAAGAGGTACATTGATTGGTTGCTTCCAGCATGCGCCCTGACCCAGGGCTAGGGATCGAGCCTACAACTAAGGTACATACCCTTAACCAGAACTGAACCTGGAACCCTTCAGTCCTCAGGCTGGTGCTATATCCACTGAGCCAAACTAGCTAGGGCATGATTTGCACCTTTAAGTTTGAGTAATTTGTTTACTGTCAACCTTCCCTGCTATGCTGTTAGCTCCATGAGGACAAGTATTGTATATATCTTATTCAAGGTAAAGGGATTAAGAAGTACAGATTGGTAGTTACAAAATACCCATGGGGATGTAAAGCAAAGCATAGGGAATGTAGTCAGTAATATTCTAATAACTATGTATGGTGTCAGATGGATACTGGAAATATCAAGGGGAACACTTTGTAAATTATTTAATTGTTTAACCACTATGATGTACACCTGAAACTAATACAAAATAATATTGAATGTAAACTGTAATTGAAGAATAAAATTTAAAAAAACACTCTGTACATCCAGAACATTTCATTTAATAGACATTTCACTTAATATCTGCTGAATGAGTGAATTTTCACAAAAACCGTATTCCAACCTGCTACCGTTATTTAGAAGATTTGACCACTACTGTTCCTACCATGTTTCCCCGAAAATAAGACATCCTCCAAAAATAAGACCTACTTACAGGTTTCCTTCTGAGTGAAATATAAGGCATCCCCCTAAAAATAAGGACCCCATAGGCTAAACATGAGAGATTTGGTCCACTGATTCGGAAAGAAATGGAGTCACAAGAAATTCACCAGGAAATTCAGGAATTGGATTGTTATGATGATGTTCCAGAAGATGATGACATGATTGTTATTGAATAAATGAGTAAATTCTTAATACTGTAGGATTCATAGTTTGTCTGGTTTGTGTTGACAACTACCGTACTACCATACCGTAGACAGGTAATAAATTTCCTTTATTTTCATTTAACAATAAATGTGTGCCGTATTCTTCTTCATGGAAAAATAAGACATCCCCTGAAAATAAGACCTAGCACATTTTTGGGAGCAAAAATTAATATAAGACACTGTCTTATTTTCAGGGAAACAGGGTATAAAGAACAGCAAAGCCCTGGCTAGTTTGTTAGAGCTTAGTTCCATGCACCAAAGGGTCTTGGGTTCATTAGAGTCAGGACACATACCCAGTTCAGATTCAATCCCCAGATGGGGCATGTATGAGAGGCAGCCAATGTTTCTCTCTCACATGGATGTTTCTCTCTCTCTCTCTCTCTCTCTCTCTCTCTCTCTCTCTCTCTCTCTCTTTTCCTCCTCTTCTTCCTCCTCCTCCTCCTCCTCCTCCTCCTCCTCCTCCTCCTCCTCCTCCTCCTCTTTCCCATCTTCCCTCCCTTCTTCTCTCTCTAAAATCAATGAAGGCATACTCTCAAGTGAGGATTAAAAATAAGAAAAGAGCTCTGGCCAGTGTGGTCCAGTGATTAGAGCATTGGCCCTCCCAAGGAAGGGTTTTGGATTTAATTCCCAGTCAAGGGCACATTTCCAAGTTGCAAATCCCATCCCCAGGGTGCATGCATGAGGCAACCAATCGATGGTTCTTCACATAATGGTTTGTCTCTGTCTCGCTCGATCGTCTCTATATCTATCGATCTATCTATCGCCTCTCACTCCCTCCCCTCCCTCCCTCCATCCCTCCCTCCTTCGTTCTCTCTCTCTCTCTCTCTCTCTCTCTCTCTCTCTCTCTCTCTCTCTCTCTCTCTCTCTCTCTCTCTCTCTTGCCTTCTCCCTCCTTCCCACTCTCTAGAAAATCAATGGAAAAAATATCCTCCGTGAGGATTAACAACAACAACAAAGAAGAATAGTCAGGAATGAGATTGAGGGTGGGGTGGGGTATTATTTGTATCAAATATTTTCTGATTGATTTGAAAACACATTTCTTACCTGCTCATTTTTTTGTTTTTCCTGTAACTCAAGCTGCTCCAGTACAGAGCGTAAATGATTCTGAAAAACAAATTGTGTAAATAATGCATGTTGAGTTTCAAAAAAAGAAAAGAAAAGAAAAGTACAACCAATGGACACAAAACTCTGGGGAGGGTGGGTATGTATGGGGGGGCAATGGTAAAATATGTACACAGATAATAATTTAATAAAAAAAAATTTTTTTTAAAAGAAGAAGAAGAAGAAAAAGAAGAACCAAGAGAGGCAAACAGTTTGGCAAATAATTTTATAAGTAAGAAAACAGTCATAACAAAAGAGCACTCTTTTTAAAAGATTTATAAAACTGCACCCCCTAACCAAAAGACCATCAACTTGATTTTATATACCCTAAATAGCATTTTTTTTCTTGTCCTGAAATAAAGGTTTGACATGCCTCATGTTACATTTTTCTAGTTAGCACAAATCCTTTGGTTGTGGTGAACTATTTTTAAAAACTGGCTTGGGCTGGGACTGGTTTGGCTCAGTGGATAGAGCGTCGACCTGCAGACTGAAAGGTCCCGGGTTCGATTCTGATCAAGGGCATGTACCTTGGTTGCGGGCACATCCCTAGTTCGGGGTGTGCAAGAGGCAGCTGGTCGATTTTCTCTCTCATCGACGTTTCTAACTCTCTGTCCCTCTCAATTCCTCTCTGTATAAAATCAATAAAATATATTTTTTTAAATAAAAAAATAAAAAATAAAAAGCTGGCTTGGAATTTGGTGTTAATGAGTGCCTCCATTTCCCTGCTCTAGGGCAGAATATTACTATTCTTAACTAGTACTGCATGTAACAATAATATCACATATCTGTATCTTTCAAAGTGTGTTCACATCTATTATCTCACTTGGTCATTTAATATAGTTCTCCAGACGCTTCAGAATTTCCCTCACTACAAAAAGGAAAGCAAACATGGCATAAATATACATTTTCTTTTAGATTAAATGTGTATTAATAAAAATAAATCAAGATATTGATTCTTATTCAAGGATGCACAATAAAATTTAAAAACAAATTTAATTAATTCTCTTTCACTGCAATGAAAACATTTTAGCACAAACAACTGGATTTATCCTATGTCCTACCGCTTTCTGTGGTCCTTGGAAAGTTACTTAACCACTTTGAATTTGAATTCCTTATCTATAAAATGGGAATAGTAACAGTACCTATTGGATGTAAGGATGGAATGAGATGATACATGTAAAACACTAAGCTCTTCCTGTGCCTTTCACATAGGAAATGCTCAGTATAGGAAATTATTATCTCAAGTCTCCTAGTCCCTTCCAAAAAAATGCTTATATGAAATTATCAAAATTACTCAGATAAAAGGAAGTAGAGCTATCTATTATTCGGGGGTTCTAAGAGGTTGTTTATCTTCATGAATGAACAAGAATGCTGCTCAATGAGGACATGAGTGGAAACACAAGATGGGATTTTAAAAGTAAGATACCAAGATATTTTTATACCAGCCAACAAGAATTTACCTTCAATGTCAGGTTTTCCACTTTCTTGATGAGATCCTTTTGTCTTTGTGCTCTACAATGAATCTCTTGGAGCTTTTTCTCCATGTAATGAATATGCTTCCGAATTTCCATAACTAACAGAGATAGACAGAAACTTTATGTATCTAAACACAGCCTAAACTAATGGACTGAAATCCAAATAAACTAAAAGTCCACTATGCATCTGAGCAATAACTTTTCAAACTTAGCCTTGCAACTACTGTATGTTTAGAATCAATCTTAGGCACTGCCACCCATTCTATCTCACCCCTTTGCCTTTTCTTTTCTAACTTACCTATTGAGCTGATTCCTTCCTTTGTCTTACAATGGCCAAATTCAATTAACTTTGCCTGTAGCTCCCTTTGTAGATTCTCTTCATAATACTGTTCTGCCTCTTCATTCCTATCATCGTAGTAAAATTCTTCATCATCATCATCATCATCATCGTCGTCGTCGTCATCATCATCGTCCTCCTCTTCCTCCTCCTCCTCCTCTTCATCCTCCTCCTCATCATCATCCTCATACTTTTCGTCATCATCATCACTGCTATTGCTAGAATCACTGAGTATCTTCCGAAGCATATGATATTCTATTGGTTTTAAGCAAGAAGGTGAAACTTTTCAAGTGACTCCCATTCCAGCTGCCATTGTATTCTTTCCTCTCAAATTTTCTGGGCAACCAATGAAATTTTTTTAATTGATTTCAGAGAGGAAAGGAGACAGGGAAAGAGATAGAAACATCAATGATGAAAAAGACTCATTCATTGGCTGCCTCTTGCACACCCCCTACCGGGGATCAAGCCTGAAATCCAGGCATATGGCCTAACCAGGAATCAAACTGTGACCTCCTGGTTCAAAGGTCAATGCTCAAGACAGAGCCACACCAGCTTGTCTAACCAATGAATTTTATAAGTAATTTCTTTTGTAGGAAGATTAATCCCTTCAAAAAAAAAAAAAAACTAGGACAAGAAATATAAAACAATGTAGCATTCATTAATTTATTAAATGATCAAGATATTTAGAGAATCTAAGGTCCCATAGAAATTTATAATACCATAGATTGATAAGAAATTAGAACTGCAATAAAAAACCCACAAAGTACTGAGTGACCAATAAGCAGAAAGAAGAACCTGTAATTGGCCTGTAAGTCTAAAGAGAATATTTTTGCATAGCATCAATACCTACCCTGTCTGGAGCTCCTGTTTTTTGCCTTTTTTAAAATACCTGGTGATCTATCAACCTGTTTATAGCCACTTGTTCCTGGGGACATCTCAAAGCTTGGAATGGAGCCTTGATTTTCAATTTCCTTGGCTTCACCTTCAGCAATTACTTCCCATCCTGAAAGGGGCAGTCAAGGAAAAAAGCAGAAAGAAAGGAGAAGACACCATTGAAAGAAAAAAAGCTCTCTGCTGAAAGATTATTTATTTTAATCCAACTTTAGGCCTTTCTATCTAGATTCTTTGTATGGAGAAGTGCATTATATTGAATTACACAGGTAAATAAATTTTTATTTTATGAATTCATTGTTCCTAGCTAGAAAGTAACATTTCCAAAAATCTTAAATTCCATACATCAAAATCATTACATAAGTACCAGAAGTGAGGGCTTGTCAGCAAGTACATATGAAATGGAACATACTACACAGGACATATCTATCTATCTCTATATATATAAATCCATAATATGCAAATAGACCAGACAACAGAACAACTGAACAACCAGTTGCTATGATGTGTGCTGACCATCAGGGAGCACATGCAGAAAATGCAGGCATCAGCAGCAGGAGGCAGACCATGGAACATGGCAGGCATCAGTCATGATGGAATGTGGAGCAGGTGAGTAGGAGTGCCAGACCAAGGTGGGACACCAGTCGCTGTCATCAGGGCGAGCCTCTGGATATTACTAAAAATTCTTTGCTCCCACACACTGTGGTCCTGCCGCCAGCCCCACTCACACCTGCTGCCAGCACTGGAGCCTCCGTCTTCTACTGGCACCTGGCACCAGTCCCTATAGCTCAGCACCATCAGTGGGTACAAGTGGTAACTGCCAGCCCTGATCACTCTTGAGGGTTTCTCCACCTCCCCCTGCTCCTGAGGGGCGATAGGGGCAGCAGCCACCACTTGCCCCTACTGAGGGGGTCCGCCCCGCTTGCACCGCCGCTGGTGCCAAATCCAATCACTTTGCACCAGTAGCATGCGCGTGAGTGGGGCCAATGCCCTCAGTGCATGGGAATTGCAGCACTAGGAGTGGGGCTGCTGGCAGATAAGGGACCAGGGGCCACAGTGGGAGGGGCCAGGTGAGGGCTCAGAGTATGGGCCGAGACCTGCACCTGTGCCAACCGCAGCCTCCTGGCCCACAGTTCCTTGCAAGGTGCATAAATTCATGCACTGTGCCCTTCATTTAAAGGATACGGACACTGAAAGCTTCAGCATCAGAACACAGCAATCTTTTCACTTCCTTTTCTGAATCAGGAGAGTCAGTGCCCTGGACCAAAGTGGGGAATGGGAAGAATATTAGTAATGCCATTTAACACCCTGTGTTTTCCAGGAAAGCCCTTTTCCTATATACAAATTCAAATAATTAATCCTCTTTAAGATATCCATCCAAATTTATACTTTAAGTAATGCTAATCATGAAGAAATATTCTCATAAATATATTTTTATTGATTTCAGAGAGGAAAACAGAGGGAGAGATAGAAATATCAATGACAAGAGAGAATCATTGATTGGCTGCCTTCTGCACACATGTATGTGCCCTTGACTGAATTAAAACTGGGACTCTTCAGTCCACAGGCTGACACTCTACCCACTGAGCCAAACAAGCTAGGACTATGAAGGAATCTTGACCAGGTTCTAGATTTGTGTATGTTAAGCTTATTCTTTTTCACAATCAAATTTCTTGAGCCATTTAATCTTTTTAACCTGCACCTCTATGTTAAAGACCTGTCTCAGAGGTGCAACCCTTAGGCCTCAATTTTTAACTACTTGCCCTGACTCACATTGGCAAAGAACTATAATTCCTTATTTGATATTTAAAAGTAATTTAGTTTAAGATCCAAATTCCCGGATTCCACTTCCCCACATCTTTATTATTAGATATTTTCCTATTAAAATATGGGTCTTAGCTATATCTTCTCCCTTAAACCAGTTTTAGATAATCATCTCCACAGCAACTGATTCATTATGCCACAGATAGAAATTAGAACTTTGAGGGGGGATAGCAATTGCAAAAAACTGCTGGTAAAAAATTAACCCTTAATTCTAAGAAATGGCTTTTTAAATAAATATCAGAGAGAAACCAATATGGTGGCATAGGTAAACGCCTAAACTGCTATCTCACACAACAATTTCAAAACTACAACTAAAATACAGAACAGATATCATGCAGAACCACCACAGGAAAGCTGGCTGAGTGGAAATTCTACAACTAGAAGGAAAGAGAAAAGCTCACAGAGAATCAGAGGAGTTGAAAAGGGCTGAGGTACAGAAACACGCACAAAGAGAGGAAGGGCAGCTGAGTGCCTGGCTGGCTTTCTCTGATGGGAGGGAAAAGGAGGCTCCTGACTGCACTGAACCCAGTTCCGACTGGATTGAACTCCAGTTCCAGGCGAAACTCCATGGACCCAGGCTCATATGGGGGGAGTCTGAACTATCAGGTAGAGAGAAAGGCTTTCCCTAGCAGAAGAGAGTCAGAACTTCCTGACTGCACTGAACCCCAGTTCTGTGCGAGCCCCTGGGGACCCACACACTTATGAGGGGTATCTGGACTGTCAGGTGGAAACTCAAGGAGTCACAAAAAGGCAGAGTTCTGGAGGAGCACATGCCAGTGCACACAGATAGGACTGACTGCTAACTGTGCCCATGGCTGGAGTAAACTTGAAGCTCCAGACTTCTCTGAACTCCAGTGCTAGGCGAGAATCTGGGAATTCAGATTCATTGGGGTGAAACTGGACTGTCTGGCAATGGGCAAAACTCGAGGGCAGTTTTCTCTTAGAGATGCTTGCAGCGATTTACCAAGGGACACTGAGACCCAGGTGCCTTGGGCAGGGCTGACAGGAAGCCAAGACTGTCTGCTCAGCCCTGAGACTCTGCGTCATCCAAGCTTAGCACAGAGGCTTTTGCAATTTTGCAAGTCTGGTCCCATAAGGCTGTCTCCAGCACAGAGGTCTCCTGGCGTAGACACAGCTGATACTCACAACCAATTGACCTGGTCAATTCCTCCCAGTGATACCAATAACAATCAAGACTTAATTACAACAAGGCTGTACAAACAGTCCACAAAGGAGTGCACCAAGAGTATCCAGCTCAGGTAACTGGGGAGGCTGACCCACTGGACCATATAGAACACCTAGCACACAAAGCTACCCTATCAACTCAGGGAAGCAGCGAAAATGTGGAGACAAAGAAACAGATCACAAATGAAAGAAATGGAGGAAAACAAATGACTGGATATAGAGATCAAAACCACAATTATAAGGTTTTTCAAGAATTTCCAATAAATTTAGCAAGACCCTTGAGGATATGAAAAAGGACCAACTAGAAATTAAGCATACACTGACTGAAATAAAAAATATTATACAGAGACCCAACAGCAGACTAGAGGAACACAAGAATCAAGTCAAAGATTTGGAATACCAAGAAGGAAAAACCACTCCTACAGAAAAGCAAAGAGAAAAAAGAATCCGAAAAGTTGAAGATAGTGTAAGGAGCCTCTGGGACAACTTCAAGCATACCAACATCCGAGTTATGGGGGTTCCAGAAGAAGAGAGAGAGCAAGATACTGAAAACCTATTTGAAGAAATAATTATTGAAAACTTCCCCCACCTGGTGAAAGAAATAAAATTACAAGTCCAGGAAGCTCACAGAACCCCAAACAAAAGGAATCCAAAGAGGACCACACCAAGACACATCATAATTAAAATGCCAGGAGCAAAAGACAAAGAGAGACTCTTAAAAGCAGCAAGAGAAAAACAGTTAATTACATACAAGGGAGTACCCATACGATTGTCAGCTGATTTCTCAACAGAAACTATGCAGGCCAGACAGGAGTGGCAAGAAATATTCAAAGTGATGAATAGCAAGAACCTACAACCAAGATTACTCTACCCAGAAAAGCTATCATTCAGAATTGAAGGTCAGATAAAGAGCTTCACAGATAAGAAAAAGCTAAAGGAGTTCATCACCACCAAACCAGTATTATATGAAATGCTGAAAGGTATTCTTTAAGAAGAAAAAGAAGTAACTTAAAGATAAAAATTATGAACAACAAATACATATCTATCAACAAGTGAACCTACAAATCAAGTGAATTAAAAATCTGAGGAACACAATAAACTGGTAAATATAATAGAATCAGTGACATAGAAAGGGAGTGGACTGATGATTCTCAGGGGGAAAGGGATATTGGGGGTGCAGGAAGAGACTGGACAAAAATTGTACACCATGTATGAGGATACTGGGTGGGAACCTGGTGGAGGGGAGCTATGGGGGAGAAAAGGAGAAACAATTGTAATAATCTGAACAATAAAGATTTATTAAATTTAAATAAATAAATAAATAAATATCAGAGTAAAAACGCAGATTAGAATACAAGGGTTCACTGGCCAAACTATATCTTTTCCTCTAGGAGTTATCAGACATTAATCAATGAATTCATTTTTCAGTGAATAAATTCAGTGTATGTGTGGGAGTGAGGATTAGTGGTGAGAAGAAAGGCTTGAAAGTGACTTTTATGATTTATCTGTTTGAAATTAAGCTATGAAATAAAACATACTAAGGGCAAGCAATAGGTTATGACTGCTCTACCTCAGTAAAGCTGACTTCTTCAATTTATTTGAAATTAAACAGCTATAAAATAAAACATAATAAACAATGAAGTTATAGTACGATTGTTGTACTTCACTAAGGCATAAAGAGTTCTAAAACTAGTCTTAACTTAGGTTTAATTTAGTAGACATTCAATGAATGCTATAGACTGACAATATAAAAGGCAACTATGTTCATAGATTGAAAGACTAGTAAAGATGTAAAATCTCCTCAGATTAATCTAAGGTTTGATGAAATTCCTTATCAAAATTCCAATAAGATTTTTCTATAGATGTAGACAAACTTATTCTAAAAGGTAATATGTAATCTTTTTGAAATATGTTTTTAAATTGATTTTAGAGAGACAAGAAGGGGAGGAGAGAGAGAGAAATATTAATGAGAGATAAACATTAATTGGCTTCCTTTTGCACACTCCCCCACTGGGATCCAGCCCAAAACTTTGGCATGTGCCCTGCCTGGGAATTGAACCAGTAACCTTTGGTGCATGGGATGACACTCAACCAACTGAGCCACACTGCCCGGTCTTATTCTAAAATTTATATGGAAAGGTACAGGCTGTCTAAAAGGTTAAAACAATCTTGACAAAGAAAAATAAAGTGAGAACAGTCATCTTGATTTCTCAACATTATATAGCTACATATGATATTAATGGAAGGATCAACACATTGATTAATGGACCAGAACAAGGAACTCAGAAAAAGACTCACACAAATATACCCAACCAATTTTTTTTTCCAACCAATTTATGACAATGGTATAAAAGAAATAAAATAGTGGAAGGATAGGCTTTTTAACAAATGGTGCTGGAACAATTGAACATGTAAAGTCAAATAATAATAATAATAATAATAACCTTGAACTAAACCTTATACCTTTTATAAAAATTAACGCCAAAACAAATAGTAGAATTAAATGTGAAATCTAAAATTTTTAGAAAAAAGATATAGGAAAAAAATCTTGAAAATCTGGACTGGACAAAGAGTTTTTTGGCTTGACACAAAAAGTAAGACCCTTAACGAGAAAAAAATCAATAAACTGGACCTCATAAAAAAAACTGGGAAAAATATTGCAAACCAGATATCTGACCAAAAAGCCCTAATATTGAGATCAGAACTCTCAAAAGTCAACAATTTAAAAAATCAATTTAGAAATGGTGAAAGGCATGAACAGACATTTGACTGAAGTGGATTAAACAGATGGCAAATACGCAAACAAGTTGTTCAACATCATTAGTTATCAGGGAAATGCAAATTAATACTACAAGGAGATCACTACACATCTGTCAGAATGGCTAAAATAAAAAATAGTGACAACCCCTAATGCTGGTGAGGATATGGAGAAGGTAGTTCACACATACATTGTTGGTGGGAATGTAAAATGGTACAGCCACTCTGGAAAACAGTTTGGCAGTTTCTCATACAATTAAACATGCAACTACCATATGACCCAACAATTGCACTCCTGGTCATTGATCCCAAAGTAACGGATACTCATGTTCACACAAAAATCTGCTCACAGCTTTACTTATAATAATAAAAAACTCATCGAAACTGGTTTGGCTAAGTGGATAGAGCATCGGCCTGGGGACTGAAGGATCCCGGGTTCGATTCCGGTCAAGGGCATGTACCTTGGTTGTGGGCACATCCCCAGTAGGGGGTGTGCAAAAGGCAATTGATTGATGATTCTCTCTCATCAATGTTTCTGACTCTCTATCCCCCTCTCTTCCTCTCTATAAAAAATCAATAAAATATATATTTAAAAAATAATAATAATAATCAAAAACTGGAAATGACCCAGATGTTCTTCAATGGGTGAACAGTTAAACAAACTGTGGTACATTCATACCATGAAATTACTCAGCAATAAAAGGGAATTAACTATTGATACATGCAACAACTTGCACAGATATTAAGAAAACTATGTTGCCGAAACCGGTGTGGCTCAGTGGTAGAGCGTCGGCCTGCGGACTGAAAGGTCCCAGGTTCGATTCTGGTCAAGGGCATGTACCTGGGTTGCTGGCACATCCCCGGTAGGGGGTGTGCAAGAAGCAGCTGGTCGATGTTTCTCTCTCATCGATGTTTCTAGCTCTCTATCTCTCTCCCTTCCTCTCTGTAAAAAAATCAATAAAATACATTTTTATAAAAAGAAAACTATGCTAAGTGGAAAATGCCAATCTTAAATATTATATATTGTAGGTTTCCATTTATATAACATTCTCAAAATGACAAAATTATAGAACAGGTTAGTGATTTCCAGAAGTTAGAGACTAAAGGTGTAAGATAAGCATGACTATAAAATGGCTAGATGAGGGATTCTTGTGGTGTCAGAACTCTTTATTATCTTGACTGTATAGGTGGAGACATGAACATACGTATAGTATAAAATTTCAGACAACTAAACACACATATAGAGGAGTAGAAGTAAAACTGGAGAAATCTAAATAAGATTGGTGAATTGTAATAATGACAATTTCCTCTTTCTGATATTGTACTATAGTTTTGCAAAAAGTTACAATGGGGAAAACTGGGTAAAGGGTACATGGTAACTCCCTTTTTTTCTAACAACTGCACACAACTCTATAAATTTTTTTAAGTTTAATTAAAAAATAAAGCCAAACTACAATACTCTGGTAGCTTGCTCATGATTGTAAAAATCTGAGGTAAGGTTAGGAATATAACCACAATTCCCAATTCTCAGGTTCTGCATGGGTTCACTTTAAAACTAAATCTTGTAATTGAAAACTAAAAGCATTAGCAGAAGGTTTCAAAATCAAGACACAAACAGATCCCTAAAGGACTAGCCTATAACCTCAAGGATCAGGTTGGTTTTTTGTTCACTATATATTTCCAACTGCTAGCACGCAGTGCCTGGCATTTAGCTCACATTCAATAAATGTTTATTGAACATATAAATGAATGAAAAATTGATCCTCAATGAACTATTTCTTTTTTCCCCCCACCCCCAAAATCCTCTTCCAATCCACCCTTAGGGACAGAAATAGCATGAAACTAACCTTTTTTGTTGTTTTGCGGAACCTTTTCTTTCTGACATTCTTAAGTGGTGGAGTAACTAAAATAAATTTAACATAGTGAAACGTATATAGTATTGATGGTAGTCACACATCTATCTGAATTTGACAAGGAGAAATGTCATGTTATAAACTACTGGCTCATGACATGACTCATTCCTTAAATAATGTCTGGATGCCTAATAAACCAAACACCCAAGTGTTTTAAAATGGGTGTCTGGTTCACAAGTAGTTATGATTCAACAGATAAATGTAGTCAGCCAAAATGAGCAAAGGGCTGGTGACTTACTGCCATGCTTCCAGGCATATTTTTTCCGTCTCCTCTTTTCCTTTTTCTTGATTACTTTAAGATCAGTAGAGGTAACAGGTTCTTCCGGAGAAGAGTGGGGACCACCATCAGCAGTGCATACAAGCATCTGCATTTAACAAAAATGAAGACGTTGACTATGGACATAAACTTTGGATTAGTAATGAATCATGATCATTCTTACCACCAGAGCATAGAAGTAAGGACAATGTTACTTGGCATTTCGAGAAAATCAAGTATTACATACATTCGGATTCATTCTGTGTCTTGGCATGTGGAGTCTGTATGTGGACTCTGAGTGGATTTTTGGGGTTTTTTTTTAGCTTGAGTGTTTAACACTGTAGAAGGAATGTGTTTAAAACAGATATATCCTAGCATTTTGATTTAGAAAGAAAACAAAAAATCAAGAGAAGAGATTATAAGAACCAGTGTAAATCTCAACAGTTAAAAGCATACTGTTTTATCAGAGAGTTTAGAAGAAAATCCAGATGTTCATCTATTTCAAATAATTAAAGTCACTAGAAGTGGCAAACAGGGGGCTCTAAAAGCTACCTGGATAAAATAAAATAGGGGAAAATTACGAATAAAACACTAAACCAGAACATGACATTGTATTTCTGTGCAGTTGAGCTGGGAATTAGAAATGACAAGCAGCCATTCACCAAGTGTAAAGGAGCACAGAAAGAAATAGAAAAGGGCCCTGGCTGGGCAGCTCAGTTGGATAGAGTGTCATCCCAATATGCCAAGGTTGTAGGTTCAATCCTTGTTCAGTGCACATACAAGAATCAATCAATGGATGCATGCATAAATATGTGGAACAATCAATTAATGTTCTCTCTCAAATCAATAAATAAAAACAGAGAAAGGGAGGGAGAAAGGGATTCCTAGAAGGATGTGAGAGCTAGGAGATTAAGAAAACTCATCCATACTTGGGAAATATCTGCTGTTTTATAAAACATTTTATTGTCGAGAGTCTTCATACTTCCAATAACGCAAGGCAAATCAACCACCTTAGCCGTCAGTGAGACATCTTTCACCTCAACAGTTGCATGACGTCCATCAGCTAAAGAGAAGCAGGAAATATTAAAGTTGACATCTTCTCCATGTACTCTTAAACTTCTTAGAATTTGAATACTGAGACAATGTGTGGGATAAACTAGTCTTTTAGTGAAATCTACTATTTCTCATAGTGCTAGAGTTATATATGCACTTAATAACTCCCCAGAGGAAAGAAGGCAGAGTAAATGGAATACATTTTCCCTCAGTTTGTGTCACTGATCAAAAGTATCAAATTTTCTTAGTAATGGTTGTGAACAAATGTGGATAAAGTAGTAAATGTTTCATTCTCATCTTGAAAGGCAAACACCATTCATTCAAACCCATTCATTTTGATACCATAAGAAGCATTCAATCATGTCATTATGCATGGGTGTTTTCAAAGGGTTGGGTGAAGGAAAGATTGATCCTAGAATTTTGGTAGCAAGTCTCAATTTATAACCTCTAGTTAGCTTCACAAATATAAAATTCTATATAATCATCAAACACTGAAAAAAAATATGTAGCCCTGGCCAGGTGGCCCAGTTGATTGGAAAATTGTCCCATACACCAAAAGGTTGCTGATTTGATTCCAGGTCTGGGCGAGTATGGAAGGCAACCGATCAATGTTTCTCTCTCCCCGACCCCCCCCCCCCCCCCCCACATACACACACACTTCTTCTCTCTACAATCAATAAACACATCCTTGGGTGAGGATTAAAAACTTTTAAAAATAAAAAGTATGTATATTATTAATATACTATAGGTCTGGTGCACAACATTGGTGCACTGGCGGAAGGGGCGCTCTCAGCCCGGCCTGTGCCCTCTTGCAGTTCAGGACCCCTCAGGGGGATGTCCACCTACTGGCTTAGGCCCGCTAAGCCAGTATGTGGACATCCTCCCGAGCGGTCCTTATTGCTGCTACGGAGGCAGGAGAGGTTCTCGCCATCACCACTGTGCTCCCCAGCCTGTGCCTGGCTTCTGGCTGAGTGGCACTCCTTCTGTGGGAGTGCACTGACCACCAAGGGACAGCTCCTGCATTGTCAGCCCCCTGGTGGTCAGTGCATATCATAGCGACCGGTCATTCCACTGGTCGGTCTATTTGCATATTAACCTTTTATTATATAGGATATACATATACTCATATACTGGCGACTCTGAATCCTGCCCAGATGTCTCAAATATGGATATCTTTTGAGGAGTCAAGTGTAATCTTCTAAGAGTAAGTGAAAAAAAAGATGCAGAACTATATTTGACATGACCCTTTTTGTGTAAATTAATTTTAAAAACGGAGATTATTTAAATGATGATATTATGCATAAAAGTTTTGTCTGTAAGGAAATACAAGGAGAAATTGTTAATATTACTTATCTTTGGCACTGACTTCGGGGCACTGTGAAAGAGAGTTTTGCTTTTCCTTTTGAACTTTTTTGTTTTATTTGAATTTTCTAGCCATAAACTTGTATTGCCCTTATGGGCCATTTTATATTTCCTTCTTTATATACTCCTCTGTATTTATTTTCTTTTTAACATAAAAAATTTATTGAATAAATACCATGTATTGTCATGTAAAATTTGCTGAAAAAAAGGACTTTAAATTATTCTATAATTTAAAAAAAAAACCCTCTGCAGCTTTTGATTTGTAATAGGTGATCCAACTAGAATTAAAGTCAAAGTGACAATCACAGTTTAAATGCACATTCACACAGATTTTCAGGGCATAGGTTGTGCTTCTCTATATTTATAAAACCTAATAAATGTTGTTAAAAGAGAGAAAGTTGTGTCACCTTTGTAAACAAAGAACAGTACTTTCATTTGTTATAGTCAGAAATCCCAAAGCTTGTATGTAGGAGATAATCAGCAGCATGCAAATCCCACAGTTGACCCCCACGTTCTTTCTTATACACATTTTGATAATTACCTCAAGTTGTATAATATCTACTTCCTTTCCTCTTAAAAGAAGAGATGGGAATGATTTAAGCCCCTCTTAGAGTCCATCAAGACAGAGAACACTTCTATTCTTTTCAAATCCTTAGTATGGAGTAGAGCACCTGGCATAGAGCAATCTCTTAATAAGTTACTGTTCAATGTATGGTGAGTGGATATTAACTACTTACAAGACAAGTCAATTTTTAGTTTATCTTTCATGGCAACACTTCCGGATTGCATCATTCCCCTGACAGTAGCAGCATGTTCCTAAAAAGGAGATAAATTGACAAATTAGAAGGATTGTCTACTTGGCAGCTAATAGAACAGATATTTCAGAGACAGTCTTTCTTAAAACACACACACACACACACACACACACACACACACACACACACACACATACACACACACATTAAGCCTCCCAAACATTAGGAATAATGCCACGTACCATTTAGGATGAGGTGAACTCTAATATCATTGTTGATTTTTAGTAGCTGCAGTTAATGCCTTCTCCTAGTTCTATATTCCTGCCTCTCACTGCTGCCTTTCAGTTATAGTTGCTAAAGAAAGATTTAGCTGCAGTTTACTGAATATATTAATTAACCCTAATGAGAGAAGTAACTTTCTGAAACCCATCTTAATATAGTCTTGTAGACTAAACAATACTTGAATATAGGTCTCAATGGGGGAAAAGAACCTAACACAATGTTGAGAGGAGATTTAACAGCCTTGTATGATGATCAGTTGGAAGAACATAGTGCTGGTCCTTCTCACTAGCCCTTTTGAGGTGACAGAAAGGATTTCAGAAAAGTCATCTTGGCTGTCCAATGAGCAGGCTGTTGATACTGAATCCATCATTGTCACAGCTGCTTGCCAGGAAATCAACTCACAGGATAGGTGGTATGTACAGGACAAAAGGAATGCTGCTAAAAGAGTACACGCTGGGATAGGACTGCTTAATAGAACATGATTCCTGGGAAACAAATGTTCTCAGTTTTTATAGCCTATCTTAAGTAGAAATGGTACAGAATCCAAGCAGAGCTAATACTGAAGATATTGCCGAGACCGGTTTGGCTCAATGGATAGAGCTTCAGCTTGGGGACTGAAGGGTCCCGGGTTCAATTCCGGTCAAGGGCATGTACCTTGGTTGTGGGCATATCCCCAATTGGGGATGTGCAAGAGGCAGCTGATCGATGACTCTCTCTCATCGATGTTTCTAACTATCTCCCTTCCTCTCTGTACAAAATCAATAAAATATATATATTTTTTAAAAATACTGAAGATATTTGCTCTGAGATACAAGGGTTTCTTACCGGAGGCAGACGCAATATAAACTGGTTCTCAATTTCGTAAGGAGGTTCCTGCAGGGTTTTACTCATCTCTGGAGTTTGAGTTTCTGAAAACAAAAACAAAACCAACAGAAAATCACCAAAACTCCTCTTGTTCCCTCTGCTAATCACTTCTGGTAGTACTGGTTAAATTATACAAGGTCCGGCCCATAATTCTCACTGGACTGTTGTGTGTGTGTACAGTTCTGAAATACCTTATTTGAAATAACTTCTTTATTTTAAAAATTCTTTATCTTCCCTACAATACTTGAAGATTTTAAAAAATCAACCCAAATAACATAACAAAAAAAGTCAGAGCTGTTATAAAACATGATTTATGGACACAGACACTGGGGCGGTGGGGGCTTGCCCGGGGTGGGAATGGCTGGGGGGGGGGGGCGGACGGGTGTCAATTGGTCAATTGGAAGAAAAGGAGACATGTGTAAAACTTTAGACAATAGATAAATAAAATTTAAAAACATGATTTAGTCTTTTTAATATTTTTAGACTCTCAGATAAAGGACTACAATTTCACCACTTGTAAGTGAAGAGGGTCAGTGAGGGGTAAGTGAAGCAAACTACATTCCTCTGCAGGAGGGTGCCAACTAAAGTCAGAAATCAACCCCCAAACCACAGGCAGAAATTTTCCGTGATTATTAGAAATAAGCTCTAAGTTTTCAATATTTCATTCACTATAATTGATTGGTAAGAACTAAACAAGCCCGTAGGGGAGCAGGCAGCTTTTATGACTCTAGAGCCAGCATAAATAGCTCAGAGCTACCTTTCAAAAAGTCCAGTTCTTATGGATAAGCTATCTATATGAGTACACCTAACTTCATTGAATAGACATTCCTGAAAGATAATATGAAAGACTGTAAAATCCAATTTGATTTTCATTTCTACATTTACTATGTTCATTCTATGTGTAGGCACTACATTGAATGTGTTATGTCTATTATTTTGTATAAGCCTCACAACACCACCTATTTGAAATATCTCTAAAAGCTATTTAAAGGAATCCTAAGACATATCCATTTATATTTTAAAAATACACCTTTTGTCGAAACCAGTTTGGCTCAGTGGATAGAGCGTCAGCCTGTGTACTGAAAGGTCCCAGGTTCGATTCCGGTCAAGGGCATGTACCTTGGTTGTGGGCACATCCCCAGTGGGGGGTGTGCAGGAAGCAGCTGATCGATGTTTCTCTCTCATCGATGTTTCTATCTCTCTCTCTCCCTTCCTCTCTGTAAAAAATCAATAAAATATATATTTTTAAAAAATACACCTTCTGTAAAGTGTAATTAATCTTTATGTTTCATCTTATTTTCCATCTATTTTGAGTAGATTTTGAGAGGCTTGCATTTTGGGTTTTAGGGCTCTCACTTCTTCTGAGGAAATTTTTCTCAAAAGTGGAAAGAAAGCAATGTACATATATGAAACCTGACAAAGCTTTATTAGGTTCTAAGAACATTATACTATACATAAAGTTATAAAATCTTATACCTTAAGTTAGATTAATGTACAGCTCCTAAACCATTAACTGGGTTCTGAGTTTTGAACTTGAATATCATTTAAAAGCACTGGAACCTTTTTAAAAAAAATAATCACATACTCTGAGACCCTATTATGGTGAAATCACTCACCAGTTATAATTTCAATCCTTTAGTATGACTTCAGAAACTCTCAGAAAGCCATAGAAAGCACAAGAGAAGCCAGTAGTGGAAAAGCAGGCAGCCAAGATGAAAGCGAGAAAAGGGCAGGGAAAGAGAGACATTGCTTATTTATGACAATCATTTTTTTCTTCCTGCTTCATACAGTTATATGCACACAATGTAAAATAAGGGGGGGGGATGTTAATTAAAATATACCAAATTACATTAAAAATCTTGGGGCTGAGAATATTGTATAACAGAACAAAAAGTAATAAACACTTAAGATTGGGAGCAGAAATACAGATATTTAAAGGACTGGCTGCTAAGCAAGATTTTATCAGATCTGTAGTAAGTTTTAGAGTTCTCAGCAGAACTAAGACTAGGACGTTTTGTTCATTTCAATCCTTTTATTTTGTAAAAGAAAGAATGTAAAAATGGAAACTTTCAGAGAAGGTGGGAAAACAAGGTTGAAATGAGTTTTTAATGTTTTAAAGTTTGTTACCTGCATTTAACCAATGAACTGGTTGTTTCATATTTGAGAAAAAGCATCCACTTTTTTTTCTGGCAAGCATTCTAGATACATAATTAAATTAATGGGACTTCTCTCTACCATTCACCACCCCCAAGCTCCATCTAGCTTCAGTGAAATTAGGTTTGGAATTAGAATGATAGCTAGGTGGAAGACACCAGACAGCATGCTCCATGCAGCCTAAGTCAGCAACAGCCAAAATTTGCATTTTCTCAAGTTCATAGCGGCTGGCTGCAGTTTGGAGGCAATGACCCTCCCTCCTTATTCCAGGGACACAAAGCTTCCAAGGGAAGAGCCCAGCTCATAGACTTTGAGGTTCCAGCCTTCGAGCTTCGCCGTCCAGGCTAGCAGGGGAGGCAAGCACCTCGTGTGCACTGGCACACGGTTCTAAGCAGCCCCAGAAACCTCCGCCTGGCCAACTCACCTGCTCCTCCTTTGGCTCGCAATGGCTCCGGAAAGGCCGCGGGGAGGAAGACCCCCCTCTGTGCCCTGGCGGTTCCGAAGGGGGTGTGAGTGGGCTCCAGGAAAGCAAGCCGTGGAATCCGATGGCAGGTGGTGGGTGGACTGTGCAGCCATAGGTAGCAGGAGAGTGCACAGCCCCTCCCCACCTCGCCAAGCCTCCGCGCCGCCTGCCTGAGCTGACAGACCAGTGGCCTCGAGGTGGGATCGTCGCGTGCCCGGTGAGGTGGAGTTGGGGGAAAAGGCTCAAGGGGCGCAGGCTGCTCTGGGATCTCAAAGAACAAGGCTTCAGAACAAATTCTCTTGGTACAGGGCAACCTTCGGAGTGGCCACAGGGCTTTTACTAGATATTTATAAAAGGAGTGGCACATTCGGTTGCTGCTCGCCGGATGACAAATATGCCACTATGCAAACCCATTAAATAATTAGAATCCTGCCCAAACTACTCTAACATATTAGTCGCCCCTTCTTCTCCACAGAGTCATTATTTTACATATTTGGACAGGAACACAAGTTACACCAATTACTCCTCAAGGGGGTCGCACGGTTCAAATAAATTCCCCAAAATATCCTTAATATTTTGGGGGGCGGGGTGGAACTTAAAGCCACTTACCTTGCCTTTCCATTAAGTTTTCCAGAGGAGGTCTGGCAGCACCCTGGGCATCACCTTGGGCGCCATGGTCGTCAAGAGTTGAGGTGACTTGGTCACTCGCAATTTGGGTGCTGTGAACATCGGCAGTTTCGGTTCGAGAGTCGACAACAACTTGGGGATCTTGGAAACTTATAGTTTCTGATATTGAAGTTGTTGGTATTGAGTCACTTTCCATCTCTTCGGAGAGCTGTCCCTCAGGGTACTCCATGGTCTACCCACTTGAGGTACTAAAATGGCTCCCTGCTCAGTCATGTGACCTGAACCGTTCTAGTTCTTTCCATAAAGTGATGTCAAAGGCATCCTCCTTAAAGGCATAGGGATAATATTACAGATATTGTGGGTTCCTGTTAGACATTATCGCCACAAAGTCTCTACTGCCTAACACTTATCCAAACTTAATTATAATATTTTTGGAACACTAATTATTGTGCAATCATTTCTTTTGAATAAGTGATTTTTTTCATTTAGTGAAACTAAATTACCAGAGCTTCAGACCTGGACAAAATTGCTTTTGGTCCCTTTTAGAATTCATCCACCTGGCCTTGAGACTACTACATCAAGGGTTATGATACAAAATATACCAATGAAATTTGGTTTTCATTTATAATATTTGTGAAGGCATATATTACATCAAAATATAATTTTAAAATAACTCAAAGGAAAAAATTATACTTTTGGTAACTGAGTTGAGTGTATGTTTTCAGTCATATGGGCAATGTGAATTGAGCAATTCACTTTCCTTGTGATGGCTGCTATGATGCTCAGAACCCATTTTGCAACACACCTATAAAAACTGTAAACCTTATTGGCATATGTTAATTTCTTTTATCTTAAACAGTCTCTCCCAATTCCCTAATTATTTTTATTTTGTGATAAGTAACACTGAAAGCTGCTTTAAAAGCTTTTTAAAAGAGAATTCTATATAAATATTAGATAATTTAAAAATAGAGCTCTTGCAAAGTTGTCACAGGGAGCATCTCCATGGGTGGAGGTGGGGAGCATAGTCAGCTCACTTATAAATTCAATCACCTGACAAATGTTAATTAAGAACCTACTGTGCCAAGCTTGATTGTTTTTAAAGTTAGTTAATTGACCCATGTCACATATCTAGTAAATGCTTAAAATATGGCAAGAGATAATTAAAATATAGTAAGAGTTCATTAAAATATGATAAGACTTAATTAACTGACCCATGTCATACATCTATTAAATGCTTAATATACAGTAAGAGTTTCATGGAAGAAGATAAAACTTAAAATACAAGCATACACATTATGTAATTTTCCCCTTACTGCCAGATTTCCCACCCTTTTCAAAGGAAGAGGGGAATAAAAAGTGCAAAAAAGGAAAAAAGTCATGAATTATGATTTCTCTTGGTAGGGGAGAACTAATCCCAGAAGTAGCACCAATATTCTAATAACCTGTCATATACATACTATTGTGTTGTCAAATATATATAGAATATATTTCTAGGTTCTGTTCTGTCTGTTGCTGCCTTTCCAATAAGTTCCTCTGGACCCATCTCCTTCAAAGCTTTCCTCTCCTCCCCCAACTATGCTTCAATCAGTTTCATCATTATAGCAAATACTAGTGACCCAGTGCACAAAATTTGTGCATGGGGGAGGGGTAGCCCTCAGCCCGGCCTACACTCTAGCCAATCTGGAACCCCTCGGGGGATGTCTGACTGCTGGCAGTTGGACAGCCCTCTTGCAATCCAGGACTGCTGGCTCCTAACCGCTCACCTGCCTGATCGCCCCTAACATT